GAGTAAAATTCTTGCGAAAAATTCTTTGTGTAAATACTTTAAGGTTTGAGTTTCAATAGTTAGGCGAAAGTGGTCTCTCTCTCTCTCTCTCTCTCTCTCTCTCTCTGCCATTCACGGGGTGTCTGTCCTATCGTTTACTTCTCACACCTTTCAGTCAAAAACACTCTTTCCATCAGTTATTTAAAGAGAGTCTCCTGTTTAGAGACTTCATGCGAGAGGAACGCCTACTTTGTTTGCGTCCCTTTCCAACACTTTCCGAGAACTTGACCTTCGCTTACAAAGAAGTCTTAAAATTTAAACACCATTCCTGACACCCATTCCCCACCACAGATAAATAGCGCTAACCTTTCGGCTCCCATTCCCCTCACAGGTCTACTGAACGGCGATTACATTAACACGAGAAGTCAGCGCGACTTTCATCACAGGCCTGACCCTCAGGAGCTGTACGTCCATCACGACGAGCCGGACAGCAGCTCCAGTCGCGACAGCACTGCCTCCCAGCCCTCGCCACCGGCCAGTTGTCACTATACGCCGACCGCTAGTCTCGAGGACACCGACAAAGCCCAGAGCCAACCGGCGCGCAGTCCTTCCCGACTATCGTCCGACGAGACCACAGATATCGGCGACAACTCCTCAGCCAATAAATCAGATCCCAATCACCAAAGTAACCGCCGAAGGCGTACGTCCTTCTCGTCGGAACAGTTGCTGGAATTGGAGCGCGAGTTCCACTCCAAGAAGTACTTAAGTCTGACCGAAAGGGCACAGTTAGCCCACACGCTGGCCCTATCGGAGTCGCAAATCAAGATATGGTTTCAAAATCGTAGGGCGAAGTGGAAGCGCGTGAAGGGCCAGAGGATTGTGGCCATCAATCACGCCGGTGGTGGTGCCGGTGGACAGGGATCCAATGCGCCCGGCCATAAGATACATGTGCCCATACCGGTGCACGTGGACAGAGTCAAGATTAGGAGTCAACAGCAACAGCTCGAGAAAAGGTTAATATTAGTTATCATTAGTTTATTACCACTTTTTATGACCGTATTTATTGACCTAAGTTTGGAAAGCATATTTGAATATATGCAAGTACAATCTATGTATGCCATTTGTTTGCTATTATCATAACTTGGTGATTATTCTGAGCAATCATTTATGCCTAGTTTATTAAAATGAACTTTTGCGCCGACTTTACGATAAGCACTCATTATATCTAATATATTATTTGTGTTTAATTTAATTAGTTTTAGCGCTTATTCTCATAATAAATACCACTTAAAACCGCACGTTATTATCGTTAATAGGCAACAAAATTAGCGATAAAATCAAGTTTTTCTATGGAAAACAATTATGCGATTATCGCCTTAAATCAAACGAATAAACCGAGAGAGAGAGAGAGAGAGAGAGAGAGAGAGAGAGACCCATGGAATTACATGATAGACAATCTTGCTAATTATTCATTCATTAAAAAGTAATATACATTTTAAGTGAATTCGCAGCACATACAGTATAGCGCCCATAGAAAATAAACAACAGATTATAGTACAGAATAAGGGGAGAGAAAAGGTTTTGTAATAAACGAGAGAAAAATAAATTAAGTTTCAAAAATCGTAAGCATAAGTACCGCGAAAAACACTCAATTCGTATAATATATTATATTTTGTTTGGCATTTGTATGGTGTTTAGTATATATGAAAAGTTAGCTCGCAAATTATTTTTCATACTAATGATGTGTAGATTAGATCTCTCGCGAAATCGGCAAATATTCATTCAACAAAAAACACAAAACAACATATAAAACGAAATCTAATAATAATAAAACAAAAACTTAATTTTAAATTCTCTCTACCATTGGGAAACCTTCGAGGGAACTACACTTTGAGGTTAACACTGCAGGTGTGAAAGACTTTATATATCCATATATTAGATGATAGTCTCGCAAATAGTTGTTTTAAATAGCACTCATTGCTTACACATTATGTGTAGTTTCGGAGGATTTTCTTTTATTGCGGAATATATTAAAATCCCCCCAAAAGTGCCCCCAAAAACATGTTTAGCATCGCATGTGAGCATATTTTATCACAAAAAAACTAATGACTGACACATTCATAACGCCCTCAGAATATTTGCATTTCAATTAACAGGGTCTCTCTAATTATTTGGATAACTTTCCTAGAGTTATAATAAAAAAGCTATTATTTTGTGTATAAAAATGTGTGTAAATATTATCATGTCTTTTGCGTGGAGAGAGAGAGAGAGAGAGAGAGAGAGAGAGAGACTTTTGTGAAACTTTACAAAAATGATTGACTTTTAGTTATGATAATAAGTCATTAGTCGATTGAAAAGAGATTTTAATTGAAAACTCCTTTTTTGACGTGTAATTTACATTCATGTCTAGCGTTTATGACAATAAATAAATTGCCATTTATTACATATTAAGCATTCATTTATTTAAGCAAATAATTGTTTAAATCCCTAAAACTGATTGATTGGTAGACATCAATCAAACACCACTTATGAACTGAATATGAAATTTGATTTTTGTTTTGCAACATTTGAATATCGCGTACGAAAATCAAACAAAAATTACATTTAATATAGTATTTTTATTTATTTCACATATTAAACACACTTTAATTATTCAAAATACGGTTTAATCGTGAGTTTAATACACACAGCGAGTATGAAAATTATTAAAATCTAGTTTTTGAGTTCAAAAAACTTTTTTTGCTGTTAATAAGACAATAATCATAGGAATTGTGATATTTCTCGCTATAAAATTAACTCCTATTTAAAGTATAGGAGAAAAAAGATGTTTTACTTATTATGGGAGAGAAGTGGCTAAAAAATTATGATTATATTTGAGTGAAACACTATTACAATTATGACCCGGGGCACTCATTACTAAACCATAAATCCTGGCCTAAACTGCAATCTAAACACTTATATGATTAGCAATTATTTTGAAATCAAAGTTTTACTTGTATTTACACTTTAGACTCAATATTTTTAGTGGAAAAATATAATTTTTTATCAACAAATTTATAGTCTGGCATAAAAAATAAATATCACGATATAATTAACTAGTTCAATAAATCATCATGGTGAACTCTTTTTTAATTAACAAATTTATTTATTAATCGCTATTAATTGTGATAATTATTTTTGTTTTAATTTTTACATTTATTTTACTGTCTAAACAAAGTGCACCGATTTATTATGTATAAATAAGATATTAATTTTTATTGTAATTAATTTTAGTCAGTGTTTATAAAAGAGTTACATTTAATTGCATTTGAAATAAACATAGTCTCAAAGTATAACATAAAACTAATTATTCATCAGTGTTAATTCACTTTTAATCGTAAATTACAATCAAACGCTTTGTTATTTAGACATTAGTTTAGAGTTAATAATAACAAAGAGTTTGCAAATTATTTTCGCAAAGAATTTATTAATACTGTAATAAATATAGCGAAAGTGATACTAATCTGTTAATTAGTAATAATAATTTATTAATTAGCAAATAATTCACTAAACATAAAAGTAAAACTTTATTACATACTTTAAATGCCTAACAAGCAATGTATATTCAACAAAAAGTATATTCAAATTAAAACACATCTGGATATAAAAACAATAAATTCAATCATAAAATGCAATTAAATTACATAACATTCCGTACAATACTATACACAATACGAAAAAGTTTTTCTCACAAAACCAAACCGTTTATGATATTATGAAAGCAAACCAAACCAAAAGTTATATTAAATTTATTTTTGCTAATGAATGCTCCAGTTTTCAATTAAATCTGTTCAACATTTTCTCATAGGATTACATACAATACCGGCCCGACTCTAGTGGGCGGCATATATTAGTATCCGAACCGAGTTTAGGCACGAACTCTGTGTATATAACTCTAACACCAGTGCTATAGTTCCCTTAAATCAGATTTATCTAGCACTTTATTGTATTTGATGGCATATATTATAATAAGGGGTATAAACACTGTTTGTGTCAATTATATCACTATTGACGGGCGCATAGAGATCCAGTCCCTGTAAGTGGCGGACACCACCAGTCCCTCTAAATGTGTTAAATAGTTTAGATTACATGATATAAGCCGTGGATTTATATCCGTTCAATGAATCATAAACTGATCATAAGTTCCCCCCCTTTTTGCGCTCAAATAACACAATTCATGGCAAATATAAACGGATTATATTTAATATCAACGCTTTTCACTACAAAAACGCCTTTAATTTAGTTAAAAATTATGTAAATTTCATATTCAATACCATTACTGGTAAATGTGTTTTTGTTATTACTGTATATTACTAAACATTTTATTGAAATTACAATTTAGTATGTATTATATATAATATGTCTACGATATGATAGGAAAATAGATTTTCTAATCTCAAAATGAATAGAAAATAGATTTTTATTTTCTGAAAACTAATTAAATATCTCGCAAACAATTTGCAGACAGTGTTTGAGAGAAAGTTAATTGAATTGAATGTTAACGTCAATTGAGTCTAAAGTGTACGTAACGCCACTTAACCATAAAAATGATTGTATAGAAAAGGCTATCATGTATTGAATAGTGATATTCAAATACACGGCATAAATGGTGTTAACATAGCGTTTAGCACCGATAGCCGTTTTGCGCCATTCAATAGACACAATATATTACTCGCTTTTAGACAGTAATTAAATTATAGATGCGAGGAGTGAGTGAGCAATGAGATTGTGATTTGCGATTACATTTAGATAACATTCAATTTAAACTAATCAT